AACCAAAGAGAAAATCATCAGAAAACAACATAAATCCCATAAAAAGGCAGATTGAAAAACAATTCTGATAGAAGTTTTCTCAAGAAAGAGCAGCACGGAGGATTAACAAGGATTACCTGCTTAACTTTGGGAAAAAATGCAAATCCTTTGCTTGACTGAAAAAGAGGAGAAACACTACCGAGAGGATGCAGCTGGTTTCTACTAGTGAATTTCTCAAAAGAAAGGTTGTGAAGGAAAACAAATGGTGGGAAAAATAAATGGGCAGGTCTTTGGTCGCGGTCTGAAGGTTGAAAACCCAATGAGAAATAACAACGTGGCGATTTGCTGATGGCCAGATGTCCGGATGCAGAATTCGTTGAAGGTTAAATTCCCAGTTTAGTCCCTGAATTTTCATTTTTAAATTAAATTTACCCTCAAACTTCAAAAAGTACTAAAGCAAATCCCTGAACTTCAATTTTTGGAGCCAATTTCATCCTTTCCTAAAAAAAAAAAGCTTGATTTTGTGGCAACTTAATGTGCTCTCTGGCACTTCCGTCGACAGAAGGATGAAATTGGTCCCAAAAATTGAAGTTTAGGGATTTTTTTAGTGTTTTTTGAAGTTTAAGGATAGGGTTAGTTCAAAAATGAAAGTTTAGGAACTGAACCGGGAATTTAACCTTCGCAGAATCCCCCATTTTTGCGGTTGGCTGACCCCAGCAAGCGAGATCGGGATCGGGACTCAGACGGCTCCACGTAGGTTGCAGCAAATTTTGACTTTTAAGCAGCCCCACGTTGCTTACGCAAGTACTTGTGATAATCCTCTTAAACTCTAAATTTATCCCAAAATAACATTTAAACTCCTACATTAAAAATAAAACAGATAAATCCTCTAATTCTATTAACAATACAAATTAACCCTTTTTACAAACAAATCAAACGATATTTTATGTTTAATATCACCTTAAAAACATGAAAACTTATGAATGAGAAAAGCTTATTTGTATCGTTAATGGAGTCGAATGGTTTATTTGTTTCATTTTTAATTTAAGAGTTTAAATGTTATTTTGAGATAAATTTAGGGGTTTAAGATGGTTTTTGCCTTTTTATTGATGCTGACATTCTCCCCGTAGTCTCCTTTCGAAAAGAAATGATTTTTATATAATTTTTTGTTTTTTTATACAGTTTGATGTATTATTTAAATAATTTATTTTTTTAATTTATGTGAAATTTGTGATTTTTAATGCATCAATTTATTTAATGATATGTAAAAATTGTATAAAAATTTAATATAAAAAATTATCCTTATAGTACCACACCTTATTAATTACCTAATTTCACATTATCTATTCACATGCTATTTTTTTTTTCTTAAATTAAAATCACATCTTTCTACTTATTTTTCTATATGTTGCTTTAGGTTTAACCATATACCTATGAGGATTGGGATTAAATCATGTATTTTTTTTATTGACCTATTTAAGTGCTCATATATGTAACTCTTTTTTTTTTTTTTGATAAATTAGTTTTTATAATTAAATAAAATTCACGTTTTATAGATCACACTACATTAATTGAAATTATTAAAATATTTTTAATAAAATTATTTCTTATTTTTTTGTTTATTAAAATATCTTTAATAAAATTAATCATCAAATATTTACTTGGCCCACCCTCTTGCCACCTCACCTAACGGCATTTAGGGAGATAACCGGAACTGATTAGCTGGGCATGTTAAAATAAAAGTAATTGACTAAATTTATAAATTTAAAAGGAGAGTGACTAACTTGAAAGTTATAATAAAGGTTAGTGACCAATTGTATAGTTTTCCCAAAAAAATGAGGAGGACTTTGCTACTATGGTCTCGTACTGAAAGTGATTAGCTTTAGCATCATTAGAATTCGGACATTCAGAATTCATTATAGTCTGATTCAGAATTCCTTAGGATGACCTAAGCGCGTTCGGGGATCGGACGGCCCCACATAGGTTATGTGCACTGTGTGCTTTTAAGTTTTAACTGTTATGCAGATTCCTCACATTGCTTTATCAAGGCTGGTCGGAGCTAGGGTTGCCACCACGTGGGATTTCTTATTAGATTTGAGTTTAAAGTTGTCTCTTTTTTCAACACCCACC